TCCTCCACATTTTCCTTTCTCTCTTCCTCCCTCCTCTTCTTCCTCTTCCATTTCCTCCTCCCTCTCTTCCCTCCTTCTTCTCATTTCGATCTCCTTCCTTCTCCTTCTTCCTTCCTTCCTTCCATCCATCCCTCCTCCCTCCTTCCCTCCTCCACTTTTTCCTTCCTCCCTTCCCTCCCTTTTCTCCTTCTCCCCTCTTCCCTTTTATCTCCCTTTTCACTCATTTTTTATTCCCTTTTATTCGGTAGCTCCACCGGCTGGTGCCCTCGTCGCCTTGCCGGGCACCAACGTAACCCTGCCGTGCCCGGAAGGGGAACCGGTCAACCAGACCCTGGTGCGTTGGAAGTTTGAGAAAGAACCGGTCTCTTCCGCCATCCCTGCAGTGTGGGACACCTCCCAGGCTGCCCTTTTCCTTCCCTTCGTCCATCCCAACCAGTCGGGCTCTTACAGCTGCTTCGAAGGCAGCCGAGTCCTTCGTAGCCACCGCTTGATCGTCGAAGGTAGGAGTTTCATTCCTCCTGGGTTCTTTGCGCCTCGGTTTTGGGCCATCGCTCCGGGGTTCCTGAGCACATGCAGAGTGCTTCCGGGGACCCTGACGGCTTCTCTCCCTCTTTTTTCTTCCCCAGAGCCTCCCCAAATCCCCGACTTCACCTGTTTCCGCAGGAGTTTAGCCAAGGATATTCTCTGCGAGTGGAGGACATTTTCTCCCGTGTTGCCGCGCACCAAAGCTACTCTCTGGATGCAAAGGTCTGTATGCGAGAGCCGCCCCCCCCCCCCCCCGCCAAAAACCACGGGGCATCCCTGGACTTATGTCCGTTCCCTTTAGTGTCCGTTTGAATGGAGAACGACGCTTGAAAGGGGGGGAAAAAAACTGGCTTCATTCTTCACACTGAACCACCGCTTCCGGCTTCCACCCCCCCGGGGGGCCACTGGATCAAAAATCCAGCCGCTTGCACCGCCAACTCGTAGTTATGACGGTCGCTGTGTCGTTCAAACCACCCCCCGGGGTCATGACCTCCCTGACAATGGGGGAAGCCGGATTCGTTTCACAACCTGTGGGGCTCATTTAGGAATCGCAGTTGATTCCCTGAACAAAGGTGGCAAGGGAAGTCCGTAAAATGGGGCCCAAAACCCGCTCAACTCGCTTAACGACAGAAACGTCAGGCTCCCTTGTGGCCGTAAGTCGAGGACTTACCCGGAAGGCAAAAAAAATAAGGCTAAAGAGTCAGGACCCAGATGTTTCTGCGGCCACCAAGCAATCCTTCCCTTTGACTGAGCCTCTGCATTGCCCGGAGTCTAGGGCTGGTGGGTCTCTTGAGGTCATCCAGCCCAGCCCCCCATAAGAGGTGCAGGAAAGCCCTGAGCTGGGCTTCTTTCTCGAGATGGCTTCTTTTTGAGAAGATCAATCAGGGTTGGTGGGAGGACTCCGACTCCCATCATCCCCCAGCCAGCCGCAGCTTCCATGCCTCCCCAAACAGGTTCACGGGTGGAAACGTCACAGAGCAACTATGCCGCTACTACAGCCGGTCCCGGAAGTTCTTCTGCCGCGTTCGAGGGCTGAACAACGAGGAACATGAGCTGCTGCTGGTGTCTGTCTGCGTGGCCAACCTGGCAGGGACGGCGCGGAGCCATAAATCCTTCCACACGGATGTTTTGCGTGAGTGCGCTTGTCTCCACCCAACCCAGGTGCCATTAGAAGACAAAAGCCCCACAGGGGTATCTCGGACCCAAGGAGCAATGCAATCTCTGTATCTATCTATCTTATCTATTCCCTTCCTTCCTTCCTTCCTTCATTCATTCATTCATCTTTATCATCTAATCTATCATCTATCTATCTGTCTATATATCTATCATCTATCTAATATATTATTATCTATCTATCTATCTATATCATCTATATCATTATCTATCAATCTATCTTTATCATCTAACTATTTTTATCATCTATCATGTCTGTCTATCTATCTATCTATCTATCTATCTATCTATCTATCTAT